GTTGTATATAGCAGTGTTCCACAGCGTAGTTCTCTGTTATGATGTACAAACATTGTTTGCCAATTATCGGTAAAGAATCATCTGCCGACTTTCAGCAAAACAATGAATGTGTATTTTTGTTTGACCACAAACGCAAACGCTAACTACGACACCTGTCTGTTTCACCTTGCTACGTATACCAGGGACCATGCCGGCGGCTATGGGTTTGGCGCTTGCAAGCTATGTCATCTGCGACTTAGCTCAGAAACCTATCGGGTAGGTAGATTGGTTTAGCTGTCGATAGTACAGTGGTCTAACCGACTGAGTGTATCGCATTAGATTGCATTGTCGCTCCACTGTTGTTTTCATTTTCGCCCTGGTATGCCTAAAAAAAGCCCCATATCTCACTTAAATTCACCCTTCGTTCATGCCAACTCTCCAGGCAAAAGCCGCTGTTCTGGCCGGTAGGACCGAATTTCATGCGGAAGATGCATGCCCGAGTGCGAGCCAAGGCGCAGAAGGCTGGTTTGTGGTATGTGTGATCGCACCATTTGGCTGAGACATACATTGTGATTTGCTACAAACTGTAGAGCATCTATTCCCTCGAGATTCATCTGCGTGATTTGGTTTCGACTATCATATAGAACAACTGTTTGACCGTTGACGTTGAGGGGATACTGTCCACTTGTGCTGTTACTGCAACGCGGGTGTAGGCATCCCAATCGCCCATGCACACCCTTAACTCTAAGCCTTAAACCGTTGACGATCTTGACAGTTGAAGGTGGATTGTCTACTTGTGTTACTGCAATCGGCAATGCAGACGTAGGCAACCCAATCGCCTATGCAAACCCTAAACAGAAACCCAAAACCCAAATTCTTAAACCCTTAATACTTGACGTGGCACGTGTGTGTGGCAGTGCTAGTGCCATTGTCACCATCTGTTTTATTGCTAGCATCAATTGCACTGTACATATCTGCCTCTATCCTTTGCGTTGAACCCATCGTTCGCTCAATTAGATTGTGTTCTGAGTAGACCTTTTGCGTATTTCTATATCCCCGCTGAACAATCGTCCGTTGAATACCACTGCGCAAGTGTAGTAGTAGTCTGTTTTTAGTGGATACGCTTGTTAGGTGTAGCAGAAAATGCCTACTCATGCCTGTATGTCTGGATGGATCGCGATGACTTGTTTTCGCGGGGGCTGCTAACATCCCTGTGCTCGCACACGCGCATAGTTTCACGTCATACAGGGGCGTGTTCAACATGTGTGGCCCTTGATTCCTGGATACGGAGAGTGACCGTTTATTCCCATTGCTGTACGCGAACTAATTAGTCAATTTCCGCCCAACCCAACCCTAGAAATGCGAATGGCTGCTTGTCAGTCGGGTTCACTTGCGCTGAGGGTATAGGGTCGCCTTCCTTCTACCGCATACACCTTCGGCGTGTGTTGTATAGTTCGTTCTTGTACCATTTCCCTGCCATGTGTATGTGTCCCTGACTTCGCCTGTGCCAACTCTCTCCTTTGTCCTGCTAGGTGCGACGTCGATTACGAGGAAATGGCGTACGTTGTCACCCACATATTCCGCGGGAGGAGTGTCTTGGTGAGTTGCTTTCTTTTTGTTATGCGTATTCGATAAGGCCAAGGAGCGTGGCCCACGTTCTGTGCATGCTGCTGTCAACTGCAGCAAAAACCTTTAAATCCTATAACAGTCAGGCAGTGATGGTGTACTTTAAACCAAGTTAAAGTTACAATATGTATTTCCGTGTCCCATCAAGATAATGTTAGGTTCTAGGGTGAGGTTTAGTTACCATATAGTCATATCTGTGTGGCCCGTAGTATGGGGATACCCTATTGAAGTGCGAAGGAAATTCCTCGGGTTGAAATCTTAAGGATAACGGAGAAATAGTTATACGGCTTCAGCTATTTTGGGAACAGATTATATTCAACTTGATATGACCTGAATCGTACACCGCTATTGGGTCTCATACCACACCCGTGGAGTTGGATCGATCAATACCATCCCAATCTTACTATCTGACATACTACAGTGGTGTACGTTCTACAAACTTAACATAACTTCAATTTCACTTGGTCCATCTCTCGATTTTGGTTGACATCTTGTGATACAGTCTGGGTCCAAAATACACCCCATATTGGTGAGATGGGACAATTCGAAGCCCTTTGTGCTTGAAAATCTGGTGCAGCTGACCGAAGAAGAGGCTTTGCTCCACCGGAAAGTGGAGAAAATCGAAGGTATGTGGGTAGGATACAGCATGTCGTTTATATTGTACACATATGTGGCTGTCTGAAAGTATATTAAAGAGTCAATACATGTAGTCATAAACTTGTTCGTGTATGAATGCTATACCATTGTGTGGCTTGAAATTCTTATGGCTCTGCTGTTCGCGTCGTAGCAAAAGATGAGTTCCTCAGTTGATGCCATTTACTTTCAGATCGCCCGACGAAATGTTTGGCACACAGGCTGATATGAGTGCTCTATTGACACCAAAGTCTAGTCTATTCATGTGAAGCGGCACTTGTTCACGTCAATGAGTCATCCAGAACACATATATTACCCGAATATATGCCAGGCCTTGAAATCTGACAAAGAATTGTATCACACTCACGCATACACAGATTTGCACCCGGAATACCGCAAAAAGGTCCAGAAACTTCTGGCCGAGGTGCAGGAGTACTCGAACTCGCTCAAGGATACCAAGGAACAGTATTATCAGAATTATAATGGTATCACAAACCTCTCACGCGAGTCGCTCGCAGGCACTGAAGTGTTCAATAACACCGTAGCGTAACTTGCAAGTGGTGCAGAAACGTTTCTCGTCCCAAATTTAATGTTTAAACATAGTCCACACCGTTGATATGTAGCGGTGTAGGTGTAGCTTGGGAAACACGGTTGCTGTCAGCAAAGTCTATACGTAGATAGCCCGTACAGGCGCCTATGCACACCCCTGCACAACAAGAACAGAACATATTTACAAACCGAAATAAATAAAAGTTTCAGTTTTAATGTCTGACGGAATCTTAGGTTCCGCAATGTTATACGAATTTCCTCCAGATAGCACTGGAAGCTATTCAATTACATACTTAGCCGAATCCATGGTTCTCCAAAAAATTTCCTTCCTTTTGGGATATTATTGCAGACACATTTACGTACGACAGCAAAACCTAGTGAGTTTAGTGCAGGTCAAGTATGATGAATATAGTCCATCTTGGCGATCTACTTCTCCTAAGTGGGATCCACCATCTGTGAAATTGATGTGGACTAAATTTAACTTCATTGAAAGTCATTCGTACACTTAGAAAGATAAAAAGCATTTTGTATTTGGTAGACAGTCACAACTATGCCATTCCGACAATGGAAAGATAAGACAAGATTGGGTGCAGTTATCATTGCTATAGGAGATTCACATTCTTTGGTTCAGACTGTTTTAGTATCGGGCATTCTGTGGCAGCACACACTCGCATCAGTGTCTTGATATGGGAGTATATAGGTTATTATTTTGGTAGGGAGGCAGGCAAGCCAGCTTCCGATGGATATCACAGGCTGAATCACTATATCTATGAAATAGAACCCCTCAGGTTTATTTCTACGGGGGTGTTGTATAATCGCGTTTGCCACCAGCTCTCTGGCGTACTCGTACAACTCCTGGCCTGGCTGGATTGTAAATCAGGGACACTGTACATTGCAAAGCGCAAATCACTGTTCTCGCTCCTGTTGTGATATGGCAAATCTCAGTTGTATTTGAGTGCTTTGCGGGTTTCTCTTTGTCCTCATAACGCGCGATACAAAAGTGCAGACAGAAAATTCATTTATAAAGCGAATCAATTGTAAGTTCTCCGCTTGTATCTATCTTAATTAGACTCGAAATACGAAGAAAATTCCCTCCAGATGGGGCAGAAACAATACTAATTATGGTCTTCTAAGCTTATTCAGTGAAGGCATGAGAATCTTCGTTTTGTTTCGAGGTTATTGGTAATAACTTTCAAAGGCAGATTTGTCTTCTTTGGAATAAGTGAACAATTGTGATCTATGGAGTTGCGATCTCTTCTAATATGTTCATCGAAGGCCTGACCTTTGAGCCGATAATCGAAAGCCCCCCATAAGACGAACAAGGCAATCCCTCAATCCAAGGTCCAGTCTCAAGCTATCACCGCCACATATTCAATTGCATGTGGCTGGTAGTTAGATTACTCACGCCATGGTGTTGTACTGATTGGCCAAACGTTGGCTTCATACGGAGTACGGAACTATTGCTATCGGTGCCGAACAATACAGTGGTTTGTTCATTTCTGGATTCTCGTACCTCTCGTTCATGTGTCAACCAACAGTTTCCACAAAAACCTTGCTGAGTAGCCTAAGGTTTATAATAGATGTTTAACGGTACTCGTATATTACTTAGACCTTCTGAAGGGAGAGAGAAAATAAAAAAGTCATCCTTCTCCTCAGAGGCTTTGAAGAGACTCCCATCCTCCAGATGGTCATGTATATGACGTCTTTTTTAGCATCAAGCGTTCCATTCTTTCCGTTCAGAACCATCGCATATATCGTAGTGCCAAATTGTAATGAGGTGAGGTTGACAACAAAGAAGTGCACATTTGACCATTTAAATCGCTCCAGCAAAATAGCCCGCGCACCTATCTTGATATTGTCTTAGATCGTCAGGTGCATAGTCAGTCTGTATCGCAAACTTTACAATAATAACTCCTGACAAGCTTATCACTTCGTGATTAGCGAGAATCAGTCCCCTGTTGCGGGGAGGACAACAACGAAGTGCGGGAAGTGATTACAAACATTTGAATTGTACGAACCTCCACATCGACTTTAGTATACCAATTTCGGTACTTTTATGCAAACGCAGCCTCCTCCAACTACATTCACATTCCCATTGATCATTCGCCAGGGCTCTCGGTTAGAATGCAAGAGACCGTCAAGAGAGAGCTTAGGATCATTTACAAAATAAATCCTAAATGAGAACGGGCATCGTCATGCGCTACCCCACATCGGGACACGGTAAGGCCTGCGTCGATGTATCTACGGGCGTTTGTATTTATCTGCACGATCATCCCGCCGCTGCGTATCCACAGCGCTTCGGACGCCCTGATAAAAAACACGAAACGAATACGAAATAGGAACGTGAGTGACGCACCGCATATACAGACGGTACTACATGTTGCACCAGTGGGCCATTGGCTCAGAACAAGATACACAGACACGAAGTACAGGCATAAAATATTCACAACTGCTTAAAAATAACTCGTTGTTGGTACGTTTTCATAACTATCAAAACCACTTGAACGTTTTCAACAAACGCTCACACATCTCGCTGGCTCAAGAACAAAGGCAAGCAAGCAAGCGTGTCTTTCCCAATTGGTATACAAATTGAAGCATCCATGTGCACCGCACGGCCTTACCTGAATAGCTTTAGACGCTGCATCGCTCGCGCCTATTAACGGCCGTAGTACAGCCACAGGCACAGCTCGGATGACAGACTTGATTGCCCCGTGTGTACCCACTCTATAAATAGAACAGTTGATAGGAGTATAAAATATTCGGGTTTAGGCCTTTTTTTAGGGTTTATATCATTTGGGAAGAAACCAGTTCCGGACCATGCGTCCAATGTTGGCACGTTCCTCAAAGCTGATATTTGGCTAGCAACAGATGTAAAAACGCTCTATCCATGGCTACGTTTTATAGACAGAGATAATTGGAGGATATACAGAGCTGGCGTTTCCAATAGAGAAGTTTCGCGAATCCCAATTCCGGGATAATGCTACTGTGCCCAACAAATATAAGCGTGCTTATATATACTATAACATGATCGTCTATCGTTCGATTTTTCAGCAGAAACGATACCTTTTGTACTCTTGGATCGGAACCATGACTATCGTCGTCACCGCTCGATTTACCTCTCTCGTCAGACTGTTGTATCCTTCGAGGAATCCTATTGTATTTTAAGGTTTTAGGGGTTTAGAGTTTTAAGGTTTTAGGACGCATAGAAAAGACAAGTTCTGGAGACACTTTGAGATTTGGCATAAAATAGAAACAAAAATAGAAATAAAAATAGAATTAGTTAAATCTGAACATCGTGGAAGTATACGTATGGAAACTGTATAGAGAGAATGCACGTAAATGTAAACACACAACCATCCATTCAGGACAGAAAGAACACCGATATATATGAGACTGGGTCAAACCATAAACCCTAAACAGACAGCAAAATTAGCAAAGGGGATTCCAGTGCAGCAGGAGTGAAGCACTGAGATATTCACCTTAAAATATGGTTAAGCACTTCTCTTCAAATTGATGTGAACTCCCACATGTATCTATAAATATATAACTACAACCATATTTAATGGTACCAGTGACCAGACGCTTACCATCGGTGACTCCTGATGGCTGGTGGGCGTTCGTGGTCTCATCGGCGATGTCTTCAAACACTGCAATTCGGAGAGATTCGAAATAGTGGGATTAACTATTATTATCGGAACAGACCATGCCAAACATTTTGCAGGGTTTCGTACAACAATAACAATAGATATAACTTTAGCAATAGCACAAGCAAAATATAAATAATCAACTAGAAACAAACTCATATATATACATATATATA